AATTCGATATATATATAGTTCTTACCTTCGTTCTTTTTTCTAACAAATAATCATGTCTACTTCCGCAACTTCAAGATACTCTTCTTTGGACGAAAACTTAAACCTTAATGAGAACGATTCCATAATTCCTCTTAGACAGAATATAGATGGTCAAAGGAGGGTTTTCAAAAAAGGCAGAGTCGAATACTTTTGGTCCGTTCCATGCGAAACATGGTCTATTCAGCATTTTAAATCCTGGTCCGCCGATAACTTTGACTATATTGAGAGAAATGAGGAATACACGATATTTTACAATACTTTATATATTTTTCGTGATGATTCGGTAACCTCACAAGGGATTCTTGAAGTTGTTAAAAATATTTTACGTAAGAAAAAGGTATGTAATTTTATTTTATAGCTCAAACACGTATTTTTCGGATATGATATGTTAAGTAAAGCTTTCGCTTGGGATTGCAATACTTTACCATAATCATTCTGTTCGATAAAGTGAGATTATTTGGTGATATTTTTTGATAAAGGTCTTCCTTTTGATAAAAGTATAATAAATAATTTTCCGTGTTATGAGCGCATTATTTAAAAATATCTGGTTGTTACTTCTTGTAAAACCTTTTTAAAAATATTTTCATTTTTAAATAGGTTAGTGGAAAAAAAATTCGCAAACCTTTATCTGATACTTCTAACCAACAAGAAGTGGAAGAGGTACTGGAACCTTTCGAATCAGATTTGTCAGCTTTTCCTGGTCCTGTAGTTGGAAAACGAAGTATCGACAATGTTTCGGATATGTATGTAGATATCCCATTGCGGAATGATGGATCTACAGACATTTTGGAGATTTTAAAGATCGCAATTTGTGAATTCGACCAAGGTACAATAGCGCTAGGTTCCTCCCGCTCATACAAAAGCTCAAACCACTTGTGCGTGGATTCCATGCATTTTGTCAATGTTCCCAGGGAAAGTACATATGATGCTGAATTGCACCGGGTCTTAGTAAATTGGTTGAGAAAGATTCATGGTTATGAAATTACTGGTCAGTGGCATCTCGAACAAGTTGGTGATGATGGCGACTTCCATAACCTTTATTGCGACCTAACTATAAAAAAACCTGATAGTCTCCACCTGGAAGCTCTTCTTGAATTCTTGGCTACAGCATCAATTTCAAAACTAAACGAACATTTCGAGCAAGTGTTTAAGTATATAAAACAACTTCATTCTAAAGAAATTTGGATCGTACACTTCTCTCGTGAAGATTCTGTTGTAACTAATCCATACTGGCCATCTGAAAAGCTTCAGGAAAAGGGATTAAATGTTGTCCATTTCTGGCATGATAGGGAGTTTAAAAATGTGAGGATGAGTGCTAGATTTCGGGATGTCACTGGAAAGTTCTGCGAAATTATAGATGAACAAATTCTTTCATAGTTGTTTTGTCATTATAACAGATAATCCTAGTAGTTGATTTTACAAATATACACGCACGTATTAATAAAAAATTTTCTTAGGGGACTGGCTGTCTTTATACTTCGAGTATAGGACATTATCATAGATTTTTACATTGTAAAAAATTTTTTATAGTAATTTATCATTTTTATTTATTTACTAACTTTAAATATTTTTTTTTGATTTTATAGGAAATATAAATAATAAATAAATTTTTCTTATCACAAAAAGTCGATTCGTGATTAGATTACACAAAATATATAATTTTTTAATTTGAAAATATATTTCGCCAAATACTGATCAGATTTAAGCGATCTTATTTCATTTGTAGTTATTTACAGTATATTCCCTATCAAATAAAAAAAAGATCACTTAGATTGGATCAGTATATTATGAGTTAGAAAAAATATTTTTTAAAATTTTAAATTGAGTTGAATCAAACCAATTCAAATAGTTTATGATTTGATTCGAATTTAATTAGATTATGTAATCCTATTTAAAAGCAATTAAAATTTTATAATAAAAATTTAAAAGGATCAATATAATTTTAAACTAGTTTATAAGTTTAAATTATATTGGATTAATTTATTTTAATATTAATTTTTTATTATTGATTTAAATTATATCTTAATTTATATCAATAAACTTAAATTATAAAAGAAAAAATTTTAGTTCAAATTTATCAAGATAATTGTAAAATTAAGTTGCAAAAGGATAAGGTATTGATCTTGTTTTTTTACTAATTATAAAATTAAAAACAATTGTTTTTACAAATTATATAATAAAGGTTTTTAATTTAATTATATATAATTTTATTTTATTTTTTATTTTAAAATCGTATTAATAAACTTTAAAATTTTACTTTTAAAACTAATAATTATTTTAATATATTATTTTAATAACTTCAAATAAAAAAGGATATTTGCAATCAATTGTTATAAAGATACTTTAATATAATATAAGATAAAACTTGAATTAATAACTGTGACAGATTAAATTAAATTTCAAATAAAACTAATATAAATTTAAATCATTTTTTATTTAATTTATATTTGATTTTGATTTATTTAATATATTCAATTAATTTATTTTTTAATACATAGTTTCAATTTTTTGTTTATTATTTTTTTAGATATTTTTTAATAATATTTTTATTATTTAAAACTTTTATTTATAGTTATCCTTTTTTAAATAATTATTTATTATTATTTATATTTATTCCTTAAATTAAAATAAGTATTAATATAGATTAAATTAAATTATTTTTTTTAAAAAATTTGTAGTCAATTCAGTATAGTGTATTTATTAATC